GTTTTGTTTATGCTAACAGCAACATGACCAACATGTCAGGCTAACAATCAACATATACTGAACCGAAATCTGTGACCACAAAACCGCGAACCGAATCATGGATTTTGTGAACCGTTCCACTCCTAGTATATAGCAACACCTTCAACTACTTTGTTAGTTCTCTTTATATGGTTAAGTTTACTGATATTAAGATTAATAAAAAGATTAGTTGTTAACAAATTCTCTTATTCCTTTCAGTCTGAATAACTGCAACCTCACAGAGGAAAGCTGTAAAGCTTTAGCTTCAGTTCTCAGCTGCCAATCTTCCAGTCTAAGGAAAGTGGACTTGAGCAACAATGACCTGAAGAGCTCAGGAGCAAAGCTATTGTCTGTGGGACTGAAGAATTTGCAATCTAAAATAGAAACCCTCAGGTAAAGATGTATCATCTATTCCTTCTACCTATTAATATGTAGACTTATTAAATGTATATGTGGACAAAAAATACATTAAATGTTTTTGTTGAATTCATTTTTTTTGTATTTTTGTTTCTTGATTAAGTCATATGTCTGTTTTTGTGTATTAAAGTAACTAATGAAAATATAAAATTGACCTGATGGTAATGCAATAGAGAGGAGGGGAGTGATGGCCTAATCTAGGGGTGCACAAGTACAGTCCTCAAGAGCTATCATCCTGTAACTTTTAGATGCATCTCTTCTCAAACACACCTGAATCGAAAGACTCAATCCCACATTTAGCCCAGCAGAGGAATGGTAACAAGCCACTCATTTGAATTAGGTGTGTTCAGAATGGGGTACATCAAAATGTGTCAGGATAGCAGCTCTTAAAGACTGGACTTGAGCACCCCTGGCCTAATGGTTAGAGCACTTGTGCTTTTAGAAGTATGCTGGTGAAGATTCTCAGTCATCCAGGTCGTAGTCATTCCAAAAAATTCAAAAAAAAGTTAAAATCAATCCTCTGGACTTTGTTTCCAAGTTTAAAGACGTTTCTCTTCCCATCCAGGAAGATTTTTCAATTCAAAATGTCAGAAATAGTGTTTAGTTCCAGGTTTTATCCAGCAGCCCAACAAAGCCTGGTTTTAGTTTAGAAAACATGCAAATAGAAACGGATGAACGGGTCCCCCCCTTTGGAATGGGGGTTGAAAAATATTCCTGGATGGAAGAGAAATGTCTTCAAACTTGGAAACAAAGAACAGTGGATTGTTTTTAACTGTTTTGAAATTCTCTGAGAAGGTTGCAAGGAGCTGGTTCGATCCCCACAGACTGCCACTCTGGGTCCCTGAGCAAAGACCCTTAACCCCACATTGCTTCCCAGGTGCCACACAAAGGCATTGTGTCATTGTGTGGCTCCCCAAGGGGATGGGTTAAATGCAGAGAGTTCATTTCTCCATTGTGGGACAATAAAGAGATTTTTTTCTTTATTACTTATTATAATCAGTATCAATATAAAAATATTGTAACTCTTTGTTTTGAATTTTAGTACATATTCCAACTATGAATACCAATGACTGATTAGTGGTTAATTAAGGGTAATAATTTAGTGACAATTTATAATAGAAGGCTTCAGCTTCAATTGTCTTCTCATTATGGGCTATATATATATGTGTTTTGTTTCTGAAGGCTTTCTGGCTGTCTGATCAAGGAGGAAGGCTGTGTTTCTCTGGCCTCAGCTTTAAGCTCCAATCCCTCCCATTTGAGAGAGCTGGACGTGAGTTATAACCATCCAGGAGAAAGAGGAGCAAAGCTACTCTCAGCTGGACTAAAAAATCCACACTGGATACTGGAGACTCTCAGGTACAGATATGTATCATTGACACAAATAATTTTCTATAAGACGTTCCTGTCACAGTTAAAATTTTGCTGGGTGGAAAAAAAAAATTAATCCTAAATTTTGTTTGTTTTTATATTGCAATGAATGATAATATTTTCATTTACTTTGAATCCAAAGGGTTTAACATGTGTGCTGAAAACAATTTTATCACCTCATTTTTCTTACGACTCATTGTGGGGTTGGGGGTGCAATTAATTCAATTCAATTTTCTATTCAGTGTATTTCTATAGCTCCAATTCACATCATGTCATCTCAGGTCACTTTCCAGTTCACCAGATCATCCAGTCAGATTGATTCAAAGTTTTCTATCTAAGGAAAACCAGCTGATTGCATCGACTCATTGACTCTTCAGCAATCCCTCACACTAAGCATGCTTGTAGCGACAGTGGAGAGGAAAAACTCCCTTTGAACAGGAAGAAACCTCCAGCAGAACCAGGCTCAGTGTGAGCGGCCATCTGCTGAGGCCCACTGGGGTTCAAGGAGACAGAAGCAGACATAGAAAAAGAAGCAGAACGTTAGAGATTGAACTAACAGATTCTGCAGAGTGGGAGAATAGAGATAGAATGAAGCAGAATGATGAAAAAGGTGTCCCTATGTCCTCCAGCAGTCTAAGCCTATAGCAGCAGAACTATAGAGATAGATCAGGATAACCTGAGCCACTCTAACTAGAAGCTTTATCAAAAAGGAAAGTTTTAAGCCTAGCCTTAAAAGTAGACAGGGTGTCTGCCTCACGGACTAAAACTGGTAGTTGGTTCCACAGGAGAGGAGCCTGATAACTAAAAGATCTGCCTCCCATTCTACTTTTAGAAATTCTAGGAACCACTAGTAAACCTGCAGATTGAGAGCCAAGTGCTCTGTTAAGCCGGGCCTACACTGTGCGATTTTTGGGGCAATTTTCCAGCCGTGCGAGAATCGTTTGATCGGGCCGACTTTCAGCCTGATCGTGAGTTGTGTAGTATACAGAGGGTTACAAGGGGCGATCAGCCTCTCACGACCACCTCCCGATCAGGAATCATAAATCATTTCTTACGACCGTCGTTGGGCAAATCGCTCAAGGCGCATGTGCAAAGGGGTTTTTCTTTTTATTCTTCCTCTCAGATATAAACCCAGCAGCATGGCGGGGGGGCAATAAGTGAAATAGAGTTCTTTCTATCAATCTGACAGACCGTAGTAGCCTCGTTAGCTCAGCCATGTCTTTGTCCAAATACGTCGTCTCCTTTTCTTTTTAGGGCTTTCAGCACTAAACCGCCCAAATATCCAAGGCAGCGCGTTTCACTCTAGTGAGCTTCATGTTCCTCTGCTACTGGTTTGGCTTCCAGATAGACGAGTCCCAGTAGCGCCATCTCACTGCGGAGCTGAGTCCCACCTGGTTTATAGACGTACAGTGTGAGCAGGTAGATCGCATCAGAGCATCGGGCCAAACATAAATCGTAAGCTGCGAACTCTCACTGTACAACGAAACCCTGCATTTAGTCGTGCAGTGTGAGCAGTAGCTGCGTGAAACGACTGAAAAATATCGCAACTTGTACCCCGGCTTTAGGAACATAAGGAACAATCTGATCTATGATATAAACCCTGGTTGAGCGATTTGTAGATGAGATTTTTTCAGAGTGGGCCATAACTGACCCCCCCTTCTTTCTTTTAGGATGGAGCCTGCTGGAGACAGATGGTTGACACCGGGTCTGAGGAAGTGTAAGTGTGTTTTTTATTTGATTCCTGACAACGAAGCAGCTCACATTTTCATCCATCGTTTTCATCAAAGAGTCAATAATTGATCACTAACTGCAGCTGGATCGTGTTTATTCTCTCCATCAGATTCCTGTCAGCTCACAATCGATACAAACACAGTGAACAGAAACCTGAAACTGTCAGAAGGCAACAGGAAGGTGACCTGGATGGATGAAGATCACTCGTATCCTGATCACCCTGACAGATTTGAGTACTGGCCTCAACTCCTGTGTAGTGATGCCCTGACTGGTCGCTGTTACTGGGAGGTCAAGTGGAGTGGAAGGGTTTATATATCAGTGAGTTACAGAAGAATCAAGAGGAAAGGAAACAGTAAGGACTGTGTGCTTGGAAGAAATGCTCAGTCCTGGAGCTTGGACTGCTCTGATGATGGTTACTCTGTCTGTCACAATAATGGAGAAACGAATGTATTTTGCTCCTCCTCCTCCTCGTCCTCCTCCTCGTCCTCCTCGTCCTCCTCCAACAGAGTAGCAGTGTATGTGGATTATCCTGCTGGCATCCTGTCCTTCTACAGAGTCTCCTCTGACTCACTGATCCACCTCTTCACCTTCAGCACCACCTTCACTGAACCTCTGTATCCTGGGTTAACTGTATGGTTCACCCCTGGTTTCTCTGCTATGCTTTGTTCCTAGTCAAGAACAATGATCTATTGCTGGGTAGGAATCACATGACCTAATAACACCCCAGAAAGAAGCAAAACAAAACGAGGCAGCCAACTTTATTCATTGTATTTCTATAGCTTCAATTCCCATCATGTCATCTCAGGTCACTTACCAGTTCACCAGATCATCCAGTCAGATTGATTCAAAGTTTTCTATCTAAGGAAAACCAGCTGATTGCATCGAC